GGGCTGGGCTGCGGGGGAGAGCGTTCCCTGGGCGGAGGGGTGGGAAAGGTGCTGGGGTTGTGGGCAGAGCGTGGGGGGCTGCCCCGGGGATATCTGGGGGTCCTGGCGTGCATCTGCACTTCTCTGGAGGGAAATTCTCCAGGCGAGGGGCGAGGAGCCGGGCAGATGTTTGGGGCCAGCGCTGGATGAGGTGGAGGAAAGGAAACATCGGGTGGGCTGGGGGGTTTGTGCACCTGCTAGGGAGCGGGAGAGGGCTGGGATTGCCGAGAACTGCGCTTAGCAAAGGCTGCCATTGGCAGGGGCGGGCTCTAGGGCCGGTCCTGGCGTTGAGGAAGCGGCGATGCCCACTGGGACAAGGTGTCATGGGCTCTGCGTTGGGCTGGCTGGCGCTTCGCTCGGGCGTAGGGCACGAGGTCGGCGTGTGAAGGGCCTGGCAGGGAGCTCTGGGCAGCAGTTCATGCTGTGGGCAGGAGCTGGGCACGTGTGGCCCTCCTGATCCTTTCCCTCGGGGGGATCCCCTTGGTAAGGGGGTGTGGGGAGAGAACAGACAGGGTGATCTGGGCCCAGGGCTGTGCTGTGCCCAGCCTTGATTTCAGAGTTGTGAAGGCTGAGAGCTCTGGAACCAGCATGCGTTTCACTTTCCATCCTGGCCTTCCCCTCTGAATTCCCTTAGTTTTGTGTTTTCATCAAATTCCCTTCCCCTCTGTAACCAGCGTGTGTTTCACTCTCCATCCTGCTCTTCCCCTCTGAATTCCCTTTAGTTTTGTGTTTTCCAAATGCAAGGCTTTATGTCCTCCAAAACAATCTGGGGATGCCCTGGCAGGGCCAGCAGTGAGAGTCTTGCCTGCAGGTGTAAATCCCAGCATGCAGTAAGGATGAGGTGTCCATGCTCCGTGGCATGCTCACAGGGAATTCAGTTGCAGAAATAGGAATTGGAGAAGACCTAGTTTATTTCCATTGGCTGATAAAGGATTATTGCCTTTTCCATAGAGCTCTGTCCTGTATTAATTCAGAGTTTGGCTTTCCTTAGGAAAAAAAAAAAAAAAACTCAGATGAGCAGATGAAACCAGTTCAGTCATTCAGCATAAAAGATGTGTTTGGGTTAGGCCTAAAGCAAATTGGTCTGGCTTTGGAGGCCTTCAGCCTCTTCTGAGGGAATGGCTCTGTTTTTTATGAGTTTTTCTCCATAATTTGTGATTTCTGAGCTTGTCTTTGCTTTGGTTTGGTTTTCATTAACACCTCAGACATCATCAACTACTGATGAATGTGTGGTACCTTCATGGGCTCTGAGGGTTCTTCCTAGACTACATGTGAGCCCTGGAGCTCTGTGTTCCTGGTACCAATCCTTTGCCTGAAAAATGCTGTTTGTTTTTCAGTTCAAAGAAGAGATTTCTAGACGGTTTAAAGCCAAACAGGATCAGCTGGTTCTGATCTTTGCTGGGAAGATCCTGAAGGATGGAGACACGTTGAATCAACATGGGATCAAAGATGGGCTCACTGTTCACTTGGTCATTAAGACTCCGCAGAAGTAAGAGCTTGGTCTTGGGGGAGGCTGGGGTAAAATGGGGGTGGGAATTACTGATTGTGATGATTTTTCCCTGCCCCAGCAGTGGGGTTTGTCACTAACCTGTCCATGGATGGCACAGCTGTGGTGATGTATGGCAGGTACCTGGAGGGGCTGGTACTTTAACATTAATTATTTAACATTAATTCTGATGGGTTCTTCCAGGACAGACACACACAATTAAATGTGTGTGTCTGTCTTGGAAGAACCCATCAGAAATGGATACTGGTTCTAGCAAACCTGCAAGAGTTCTAGGAAAAGTTGCTGATAAAAGGAATTACTTTCCCAGTGAATTTGTGTTAGTTCCTGGGTTTTCTGTCACCTCCTCAGGCTCTGAGAGGTGCCACAGGGGCACACATACCCTGCAGGCACAGCTGCCCAGGCTGGGGCAGGCACAGGGCCCTGTGGGGTTCACTCATGTGGGTGCACCTGGGCAGTTCCCTGTGCTCAGGATGTGGCTCAGGAGCACCACAAACCTCACATTGAGAGCAGGACACAGGGCTGACCTCATGTTCCTGCAGGTTTAGCTCTTCCCTGCACTTTCCAGAGGGGTGGTGGGCATGGAAGGGCTCTGGGAGCAGCTGCTTTGCTTTAGTTGCAGCCACATTTCATTGATCTTGGAAGGCCCTTGCAGCCATGCCTCAGGCTCTGGCCACAGTGAGCCCCAGCTCTCAGGGCTGTGTCTCTGTGCAGTTCTGCTGTCCCCTGGAGGAGCTGCATTAATCAAGATGGGTTTTTCCCTTTTTTTTTTTATTCCACTTGTTTTTTTCACAAACACAAGGAAGTTTGCTGCCAGGTTCTGCAGCCTCTCCTTGGATTCTGCCTCTCCACTATAAATGTGGTATTGGTAAATCATTTCAAAGAGGGAATCAGAGCTGTCCTGGGCTGCTCATTTTTCTCCTGCTAATAGTTCTAGAAAAGTCCTGACTGAAGACATTACAGAGAAACCAAGTGCCCTTTCTCTGGCTTCCTTCTTCCTTTCTTATTCAGCTTCCCATTTGCTTTGTTTCCCCACTCTTTGCCTCTCTCAGTGGCCACTGGTTTTCAGCAGCAGTCAGGTCTGTCTGGACAGTGGACAGGGACCTTCAGCATTGATTTTTCAAGTTCTAGAAGAGTGAAAAAGAAAGGGAGATAGAGAAAAGGAATAATTATTGGTTTGGGAAAAAAAAATCAGGAAATCATTGATATTATTGGTATTATCATAACAGCATTATTGAGGTAAGTGAATTTTGTGGTCTAATTTAATGAAAGCTCTTCAACACTAGTCC